TGTAATAATTTTAACAATTATTTAACACAAATTTGAATCTGGTCATCCATAATATGAGGTCATAATATGAGGTCATCCATAATATGTCATGTGTCTTGATCTTGATCAACCTGAAAAACAGGTTTTTTTTGGGGGGGGTGTATTTATCTAAGAGGCATGATGTAACACATCAAGACTGTTGTGCCCAGATAACAAAAGAGATAAGGAAACAGAAAATAAAACAGTTTAATCAAACATAACTTTAATTAATAATCATTTGTGTAAATGTTTAGATTCAGCCAAGCATTATTCAATTAAAAGATGAGTTTGCTTTGATTTTATACATTGTCATGTTTGGATTATCAGATACTCTTTAGTGCAGAAACCTTTAAGATCAAGGCAGAAACTTAATAGAGAAGAGAGAGAAAAAGAGAAAGAAATATCACATTGCATGTTTAAAAAGTTAGTAATTAGTTCTGTTTTAGGTTGGGTGGCAATTATAATACCTAAGAAAACAGGACATGAAATGAAGACATAACAAAAATAATAATAATACCAATGAGACCTTAAGGCACTTCCAACCAAAGAAATCTATAACAATTACGAGTAAAATAGATATGAACTTGCCAGTATATTTTTTTTCTTATCCACACAGAGAAAAAGTTTGCTCACATATACACACAATTTTTCGTACAACCTTCTTTTGTTTCCTCCTCATACTTGCATTAACTTCCTTAGTAATTTTAGTTCACTTGCAGTTATAGCCATAAAGACAAAGGAGAAGCTTGCTTGGGATTCAATTGTTTATTTTTTCTTATTCATTTTCTTCTGGCTTAGGTCACTAGCCAAATTCCTTAGTGACCAGCCAGGTCTGTCTCGTGCCTGTTCATATCCTTTCTGTCTCCAAGATCATTCCACAAGACACTTGGAGAAACTTTGCTTCCATCTAGTGGTACTTTTGACTTTTGCAGCTCCCATGGGAGAGGTCACAAAACAGAACAAATCAAAAGGTGGTCAAAAAGTAAACTTGCCAGAGAATAAAACTGGCTGAAGGTCAAACCAGACTGTCCAATATAATTCTGTATATTTGCCCATTTTTCTCAATTGTTGGACTTACTATTATGGATTTACTTTTATAATAATAACAATAAAGTTGAAAGGGACTTTGGAGGTCATCTAGTCCAACTCCCTGCTCAGACAGGAATCCCTATACAATATCAGACAAATGGTTGTCCAGTCTGTTCCTGAAAACTTCCAGTGCTGGAGCATTCATAGCTTCTGGGGGTAGATTGTTCCACTGATTAATTGTTCTGTCAGACAATTTCTCCTTAGTTCTAGGTTGCTTCTCTCTTTGGTTAATTTTCATCCATTGCTTCTTGTCCTGCCTTCAGCTGCTTTGGAGAATAGCTTGATTCCCTCTTATATGTGGTAGCCCCTGAGATATTGGAACACTGCTAGCATGTCACCCCTCGTCCTTCTCTTCATTAAATTAGACATACTCAATTCCAGCAACCATTCCTTATATATTTTAGCCTCCAGTCCCCTGATCATCTTTGTTGCTCTTCTCTGTACTTTTTCTAGAGTCTCGACATCTTTTTTACATCGTGGTGACCAAAATTGGATGCAGTATTCCAAGTGTGGCCTTACCAAGGCATTGTAAAGTAGTATTAACACTTCACATGATCTTGATTCTATCCCTCTGTTAATGCAGCCTAGCATTGTGTTGACTTTTTGGGCAGCTGCAGCACACTGCTGGTTCATATTTAAGTGATTGTCCACTAGGACTCCAAGATCCCTCTCACAGTTGCTACTATTGAGCAGGGTACCACCTATCCTATACTATACCTGTGCATTTGGTTTTTCTTGCCTAAATGTAGAACCTTACTTTTTTCACCATTGGATTTCATTTTGTTAGATTGCGCCCAATGTTCAAGTAAACATATACTGTAGAGTTGACTACAGTTTTAAGTCAGTCTTTTCTATTTCTCTGAATCTTTGCCTCACTAAATCTTGCCTATATAAATGCATTACTATTTTTGAGTTAAAGAAAATAACTTGAAAATGTGGGATTCTTTATAAAAGACTGATTCCAATAATTAACTAAATTGCTTCAGGAGGGTATAGTTATAACAGATTGAAAATGCAGCCTGTTTGCATGCCAGTGACTGGCTGATGTTCCTGCTGTGCCAGGGGAAAGAGGGAGAATTTCTTTGCCAGCTTTCAGTGAAGGACTGCTGCTGTGACAGCAGATCTCATTCAGGGACTTGATTTAATGCTACCAATTACCATATCTTTGTAATTGCAATCCGTGCCTGATGAGGATGGTGGAGAACATAAGGCCTTGAGTTTCAGAACATCTTTGTCTTATAAGGATATAATGTCTTCCATTGATCTTCTTTTTTAATGTTTCATTAACTCTGCAACCAATTGATCATTCCTTGGATAAAAACTGTACCATAACTGTATGCCAACATTTATGATTCATTTTCACTTAGCTAATCAAAATGTTGTTCCACAAGACCATGATGATGCTTTGTAGGAGGTATTGCCTCAATCCAAACTGGCTGCCTTAGATAGCATATTTCTCATAGCCTTATCAAAGTATAAGACATGAGTTATTAATCATACCATCTTCTCTCAAATAGCTATCAGTCTACTGGGATGGCTCACTAGAGTGTTTGCCAATTAATAAGAAATCTTAAATAATGCATTGTAGGGAGTTTTTATTCTTAGCAACAAAATGGAATATTGGAAAGGAATTTTGTAAAGGAAATTAGTTTCTCATTAGCACAACTCTCTGAAAACTGAATGGCATCAACTTTGATATGAAAAAAGAATTCAGAAAAAGTAAGACTAAGTTTGAAAATATACTAATGCTTGCTGAGCTTGTAGTTCTGACTAAGAACTGAACTGAAGAAATTTCTTCAAAGAAAAACAAAGTCCAGTTGCCTTTTGAAAAAGCACCTTTGGGACAACCATGACCTGGATGACTGAGAATCTTCATAGACAAACATAAAAAGTTGTTTTCCATTTCCAGAAGAAGCAAGAAGGTAGGGTATGTAGTGTATTTAGAGATGAGTGGATTTGGAAGATAGTAATTAGAGGGGAGAATATAGAAGACTGATTTCATGATCAGAAGTATACTAACTCATCTGTGTCTTTTTAAATGCAGCAGTCAGTTGAGCCACCAGGCAGCCATTACTTAAATTGGGTAATATACTAGTTGCTGAAAGAAGTTACATAATATTATGTGATCACTGAACAATAACTGCATGGCTATGTTTTAGCGAAGGAATTGCTGATGTACAGAAGCAAAGTCAGCACAGGAGATAATGATGAACTAATCTTCCAGTCAAGTGTGCTTTCTAAGTACCTGTCTACAGTATTAAAAATTGGTGCATTCCCAAACCAGTAATCCTGGCTTCAGCCAATTACTTTTGGTTCAATTATTTCTAAACCACTGATGGGCCTTCAATTAGTGCTGCTTGCATGATTCCATACAAGAGCTTTCAAAGCTTCTCTTGCATTGCAAACACTTTTATATCAACTTTAAATGCTAATAATCCAAGGCTAAAGATTAAAACATTTTACAGAATTAGAATTATCCATGTTATCTTTAACATTTCCATCAACAGAAGTGTTAGTGTAAATATGAATTACTATATCTCAAACTCTTCTTATAGTAGAACTTTACATTTTGCACAAAATACTGTATATAACTTTCTTCTGATATGGTATGTACTAAACAATGACATCTTTTAAAATTGAAGAGAATGCACAATGGAAATATAAAACAATTTGATTGATTGATTGAATGAATGAATGAATGAATGAATGCTTTGTCCATATCCCTCCAAAATGAAACATTTTGGGAAGAAAGCTGTCTCTCCCCATATTTTTGCATTTCTGTCCCAATAGCAGATATTAAAACAATAGCTTCTCAGTTGGGGTTATTTTATTCAAGACCGATAACTGAAATTGAGGTTAATTGACCTTTATATGATGGATACACAGAATAGTACTTAAACTGCACACATGGAGAGCCAGTTTATTTGAAAAGCAAATTAAATTAATTGACATTCATGTGAAGCTCTCTTTGCTTATTGCTAGCTGCGCATATAAATAGTTTGTTGATGGTATTGATGGGACAAACATTCATTTCTGATAAATAGGATTTTCAGTTGAATAGTTTTTAATTAGGTGAGTTCTACGTGGACTTTCATTTGTACAATTTGAAGATAATCCTTTCAGCTAAATGGTTAACACTTGAACATAGAGGCTTCAAACTCAAATAATCATGAAGGCTACATAAGGACTATTAATCCATGCAATACTGAAGGCTTTTCAAATATTGATACAAAAGTCCAAGTGAGTCAAAAGTCAAGAAAATGAAGAATACAACATTACGCATTAAACAAATAAAATAACAATTAAAAAAACCCTCTGGTCCTGATTCCATGTATGAACTCCATAGCTGAACTCAATATGGATTTCACTATTCATTTACCTTTGTCTCAAATATTCAACAGTAAATCAAAACATGAAATTTAAAAAGTTAGGAAATTAAGGGATACACAAATTAATATTCCTTTGCTTTTCTGCACTTCCACCTTGATTTTTCATACCTTTTTTATCAGCTATTTAGGAAAGGATATACTTTGCTTCCAACAGATTTTCTTTTTTTCTTCCTAGACATATCCCATTCCTAAAGAGGATCTTTTGCACAGAGTGATAGCCACAAATCTTTTTACCTGTTCTTCCATAAAAATAACTAGCGCTTTTGGAATGGGATCAACCAAGGTTAATGGAAGAAGGATGCAATCACATTCTAAGACAACATATTTCCTCTCAAGGTCTACCTGATTCTGTACCACATCTGTCCTAGGGTGTTGTTGCTTACAAAAGAAAATGATTCAGAGGGTTGCATGCAGTGTACAGATTTGAGATCCTTGCATAAGAATGATTGCCTGGGCCTTATTTATAAATCATTTTACTCCTTCCCAAATAAAACACATGCTGCAGATGCTTCTGCCATTTATTTATTAAATTGCTTATGATAATTACAATAAACATTTGTATATCAGAGATCTGACCAAACTGAGCTCTTGGAATTAGACCTTATTGGAAGTTTAATATATACTCCATAGCTTCTCTAACAATTGCCAATGAATTATAATTTTAATGGGACAAAAATGGGATGAATGGGATTATTAAATACATGGGGAATAGTCATACTATATAATAGTATGTATTAACCAAATATAACCCTAGCTCAGTTTAATTAAAATAAAACCACTTTTTGTTTTTCTTTCAGTTCTGGCTAGTTTATTGTCCCATTCCAATTATTTTTTGCAGTCTTTGACATGCCTCAGATAAAATAAATGCAGAATCCACATTAAAACATTTTAACTATTGAAAACATCTGACTTATTTAGTTTGTATTATTTTATTCTCTAGTAAAAATAAGTAAAAACTGGCAGTGGCATGACCAATTCTATATAGGTAAGAGATATGATTGAACTACTATAGAAGTTGAACATAAGTCCTGATTAGACTGCTATTTGTCATCAATGAACTCTTTTGTTACAGTTTTACAGTTTTGGTTAACTAATGAGTGCAATAGTAAGAGTAAAGTATAAGTAAATCTAATTTCTTGATGGCCCATCTCACCTAAGTTAAGTCTGGGTGGCTTATAGTGAAAACATACATTTAACAAGAGATTTCTTATGAAAACAAGAACACTTTCCTTTTATTCTGCTTTTAAGAACAATAGGTTACGCTTTGGCTATCATCTCAATATTTTTAAGTTGGTTGGTAACAATTCTCAGGGAGAAATGATATTTCCAATCACATTCCCTAAACTTTTAAACAGGGGCTTTATGAACTTTCCAGTTTCTTCAAAATACTGCAGCAATTTATGCAAACTAAAATAAAGACATAAGATAGTGGAATCATGAGGTGATACTACATGAATTTTTAACAGAACTGAAGCTAAACAGGCTTTTAGATAAACCTAACTCAACAAGTAAGGTCAGAAAGTGAATAGATCACAAAAACTAACTTTCTCCCCTACATGATTTGCACTTGTAAACATTGAAAATATGCTTTATTGTTCATTTCAAATCCAATTTGAAATCCATTTTATTAAGTTGTAGAGCTTTATTTCTATGCTTTATCCTCCACTATTTTTTCTTCTGGACAAATATCACAATATATTATTTGCAGAGCTATTTGTAATTTATGTTTGTTTGACTCTACTAATGTACATCTTCTTAGCTATAAATGTTAGTATAATAGTTCAATTTTGATGTGGAAAAATTGAGACAAATCAGACTAAAGGAACTTTATGCAAACTAGTTAGCAAAATTAATTCACCTGACTTGTTCAAAGTTGTGTGATTACAGAACTTAAATAGACTTCCAGTGAAAAATCTGGCTATTTTATAGCCTCTCTAAGAAAAATCTTTACATTACAACAATTCAGTGACATTATTTTATTCTGAACTTTGGTGTTAGGGAAACTCTTGAAAATACCATAGATTATCAAGAAAGAAAACATATGGATCAAAGAACAAAGCAATATTCTGTTATCAGTTAAAGTACATACAGGCTCACTTTGTCATAGTTTAGACACATTATGCAATGGTCCAGAAATCAATACCGCTGGAAAGGTGAAAGGAAAGAGGATGTCCGGTATCAGATGGGTGGACATAGCTACAGCAGCAGCATGTTAGGAAATGCTTAGCAGCTGGAGCCAGACAGATCATTCTAGACAAGTCTATCTGTGTGGTCACTAAAGTGTTGACATTGACTTCACACCACATACTTGATTTATTTTGCAAGAAAATATTTATACTGTATATCATTACAAAATAAAGCTGATGTAATAGTACTGAGAAATAGACAATATGTACTTTTTTAAAAAAATGCTTGGCAATAAATATATACTAAATATCTATTTGTATATCACACATATTGAAAAAGACTTGCTGCTAATAATCTTCTACACTGTGAAGAATATAATGAAATATATAGGAAAAAAATAAACATATGGACAAAGTGTGTGTGTGTCTGTATACACACACACACACACATATATATACACACATACATACACACACACACACACACACATTGATTTATAGCAAAAGAAACTGTTTTAACTGATTATACATCATTCTTCATTGTGGATCAATTAAAATAGGCATAGCAATATTTTTATGAAAAAAAATAATTTGTTACACTTTAATTGTATTAGGAAAAGTATTTTATAGAAATATAGCATTAGATTAAAAGGATAGCTAAATAGTTTTTTTTTTCAAATTAGATAGTAATTATATACATTTTTACAATATTTAAATTTAAATATTTAAATGTTAGGTAAAATTATAAAATAATGTTATTCTCATATTGTAGAAATATAATTTCTTATATGAATTCTGTATAAAATCCAATTAGTATATTTTAGGAAAATTGCAAATAATAGTATGGAACATTTATATTATTTGTTTGTAAAATTTGATAAAAGATGAAATGAAATACAGTCTCAAAATTAATAATGTACTCTATGATTATTGTATTCTTGTACAAACAAATCAATTCAGTGCATTTCTTGAAACTCCCAAATAAGTATTAATAATTTGCTGAAAATGTAAACAAGTTTCAATCTGATTCAGTGATGGAAATTTTCTGGATGACATCAGGCAGATTTTCTGCATCAAGGTCTTCTTTACTATTGTCTGACATTTCTGGTGAGATATAACAACCAGAATCTCTTTCATTTAATTGTAGTTTGTTAAGGCTGAGGTTAGGGTTTAACATCTGTGGCATTGGTTCTGTTTCCTGGTCTTGTTCATCTAAAAAATAAAAAAAAAAACAAATACCTAGTCAGCTAGAGATTAAAGCTACTTCAACCCGACCTGAGAAAAAGCATAAAATAGCATACAAAGTTCTTCCATTAGTGAAATAAAAGTTTCTTATTGAATCACAGGGAATTTCTCCAGGATAGGATGGATCAAGTCCTGTGGGATTCTCTATATAGAGGTCATTTGGTCCAGTAGTTAAAGCACCAAGCTAGGAACTGGGAGACTGTGAGTAAGTCCCATCTAAGCCATGAAAGCCAGCTGAGTGACCTTGGGACAGTCATTCTTTCTCAGCTCACCTCACCTCATAGGGTTCTTGTGGAGAAAATGGGAGGAGAAAGGTGTGTTGGATATGTTCTCTGCCTTGAGTTATTTGTAAAAACAATGAAGGCAGGATAGTAATTGATTGATTGGTTGATTGATTGATTAAAGGAGCATATTGTTCAAGGCCTCTGCAGGCTGCCTCCACATTTTGTAGTAGAACAGCAGAGGGCAGCCAGAGTGAAGACCCAACAAGGTATCAGAATAATGATGGTGAAGATGTAGGAGGCTAGCTATATCCTTTTGGAAGAGCCCTCTTGCTGTAAAGCCTGGGAGCTAGACTGATTTGAAGATCGATGTCTCAGATGTACCTATGATATTTTAAAACATTGCAGGGAGAACCTCTGATCAAGAATCCTAGAAAGTGAAGCTCACCACTAAAGTTTACCTTAGCCAAAATGTTTAAAAAGTAGTATAAAGCCACTATATCATGCAATCCAAGATTAAATCCTAAATAGTTACTCCAAAGATATCTTTGGCACTTTTGAAAGGAATTCCTCTACTAAATAGAGGACCCTCCCCCCAAAAAAGAAAGATTGTAATAAGCAATACTATTCAAAGCAAAATATAATAGTACTATCTAGAAGGAGACTATTATTGTTCCCAAGGCTTGTTCTGCATGGTTGCTTCCTGTTATTCTTATAAGAAAGCTAACAATGCATAATATGATAAAGAATTCTATTTTTTAGCCTACTTGTCACAGAGCCTAATGGTGAATTGGGGTGAGAGAAGTGACTATCACTGTCACTGGGAATCACTGTCAAGAAGAAGGTAACAACCAGTTGGCCAATATGATTCTATTCTCAGTGAATCAATTGTGCTCTCAGGCTACAGTTTGAACCTTTCTACTGCAGGACTGAATTTCTCAAAGATGTGACACATTAATATTTTCATATGGCTATGTGTATTTTGATTTAAACCATTTTTACCACAAATGGCAAATGTCAGTTTTAATCTGTAAAATATTAGTTAAAGGTTCAGGATACAGAAATCAGTTTTCTTTTTTTAAAATCACTACTAATTGTCGCTGAATCAGCAGAATGTACTATCTTATCAACTTGTAGAAGTCATGTAATTTCCCTAAAGTAAAACAGTTTCATAAAAGATAAATGGCTTTTGGTCAGAGTTATATAAGATAGTGCAAGCAGAGTCTATGATATGCATCATTTTGACATGTATATTCTATACTACTTTAGTCTATAGGATTAGAATGGGGATATTGAAGAAATATAAAGCTGATACATACATTCTGACAGGGCCTTTATTATAAATATTCATTGTATGCATTTTTTACCCTTGGTTTACCCTTGAAACTTATTTTTCCCCTTAATGTGTGATTTCCTAGCTTACGTGATATTGTAAGTATAATTGTTGCAGCTTTTCCTGACTTCAATGAAGCTCTAGAAATTCAGGCTCATTTACAACTAAATAGGTCTATGACATAGCTTTGTTGTGATTGCAGATGTGATGTATATGCGATATACCATAAGGTGATTCACTTGTTTTGGAACTGTTTAGTATGCAAACTTACAATTATGGGCAATATAAAAACAATGACAGTATGCATTTCATGATGCATGCATAATGTCCTAGATAAACCATTTTTTTCCTGCAGAAGGTGAAAGGTTTTGCCATAGAATTAGTTAATAAATTTTATTAGTGAAGTGCCATGAATTTCTCTAGGACATGTGCAGAGAACATTATCATGGATATCAGGAACTCTGCTTGACTGAATCAGAAGAATTTGCAAAAATATGCTTCCCCGGTAGGATTAGTCTTTCTAAAATGAATTCCAGTTGAAGCCTGGAGACACATTTATGCTAATATATTAATTTAGAACCACATTTTATGTTAATGTATTAATTTTAAAAGCTTTATGAATGTAATATTACTTTCTATGGAAGAACCTGTATTTTGTAATAACACAAATACTTATTTCTATTAGTTTTTGGTATTTATTTTGAATATAATCAGTATTAAAGTGATTGGTTATATAAATTTATTATCTCTTCAGTGAAATTAATTAAATCCAAGAGTCTAAACTTTTGGACACAAAGATAATCCATATCATAATTAGACCCTATGTCAATCCAGCATTGCAAATTCTTTTTTAAGGAAAACAAACATAAGCCTCCAAATTTTTGAGAACATTGTCCCATCCAGTTTTATACAAATGATCATTTATATATTGAAGGAAAGGCTAAGCTTGATTCTGAGTATTTTGGTATATTTTTTTCTAGCCGATAACTAGCCATCTTATAAAATTATGCTTCTGATTTCTAAGCAGTACACATAATCAATTTTAATTAGAACAATCATTTTTAGCAGGCAGAATTATAAATATTGACCTTGGAAAGTTGATTTCAAATGCAATATTTAGTTACACCAAAGATGTCCAGGTTTTTCAACCCAATTTTCCACTTGGTTTGATTTCAGTGCTGCAATTTTGCAAAAGTCATGCAGAATTAGTTATTCTGCTAAATGTTAACCCCAAGAATATATTGGCTTGCCTTTCTTTCATTACAATTAATTCAGTAAACAACCTATTATGCATCTTCACATACTTTTCTTTTCTAGACATCTCCATTACTTTGTTTATTTATTTAGTGTATGTTAGTCTCCATTACTAATCTATAAAGTTAAAGAACTATTATTCTTTAGCAATTTGGAAGCCACTTTGCCACTGAGGACTTCATTTTTAAAAATCTGAATACATGTCTCCTGCTACATGTACAATGTCAGCAAAAGAACATAAAAATATATATATCTGATGCAAGATTTTGCCCAAGGACTTTAAGACTATGATCGTCTGAGGAAATAATAGCCATCAGAATTCCAGCTCCAGGAAGTTTAGAAATAAACACCAACAAAACAAATTGACTTTTCAATCTAGAAGTTCATGAAGAATTATGCCAAACTAACATCCTTCTCTCAAGCAGCACTCATCTCTTTATTTCATGCCCATAAATATTATCCCTGTACATTTTGGAGCCTAGGAAGTTGAAATTGGTTATGACTCCAGTGTATATATGGCAGCTCTCATTCAATGTATGGCTGAAATCTATATAAAATCTTAAAGTTTTATTTGCAAAATGTAAGCATTGTATGTCCAGAATAATCGGGCTGACAGGGCCTGCAGCATGCCTCCACTGCCAGCACAGGTGGGGCAGGACAATCCCAGTGGGATGAGATGCTCCCTCAAGTAGCCTGGACCCATGCCATGAAAAGCTTCAGATTCTGGGAGTTGAAGTCCACAAGTCATAAAAGGGCCAAGTTTGAAGACCCCTGTTTAAAAGTAATTATCACCATCTTGAATTGCACCCTAAAACAGACTGCAAGCCAATGCAGCTTGTAGAGCAAGGGTGTCACATGGGCCATTCTTCGAGCCCTAAGAATGGCAGCTTTCACTCCATGTCTGGCAGAAATCTATATAAAATCTAAAGGTTTTATTTGCAAAAATTTTAAATGCCCATTTTTGCATGAAAAATGCATTTTTTTAATTTGGAAAAATGCCCATCCACACCCTAAGATCATGTAAATATTTTTGGTGTTGGATATGAGCACTACCTCTGACCCAGTTCTGTTAATAACAGTCGCTATTCCCTTTCTTCTATGATTTTCTTTACAAAGTAGAGAATTTGATGAGGTCTCTGCTGTTGTGACATATTCCAGTCCATTTCAGTTTGTTGATTCTCAGCGTTTAAATATTCATCTTGATATTTCTGTGCTGATAAAATTAAGGTTGCCTTAGCTTACACTATAAATGACTATGTACATATTTTATAGCATCAAATTTTCCTATTGTCTTTGGGTAATCAGCAACTAGATGTCCTTTCAGCTTTAATTCAGCCATTTTACAAACACCCATGTTATTCATACTTGCCTTCTGTACTTCCCCAGCAACTCATTGGATATCTTCCACCCTAAGTGACTCATCTACAATAGCATATTGTCATTGTTCTGTTTATGTATATCTGTATGGTTTTCTTAATAAAAATATTGGAGCAAATATGCCATTTCCTTCAGCAGTGCATCTCATGCCTGCGATGGGAAAACAGGGTAACTCTGGAAGTGTAATTCTCAATATTATAATTCATAGTGTTATTGAGAAATACATACTCCTTCACCATTTCCAATGAATAATGGAAAGCTATTCTTTCATCCTTAAGATAACTTTAGCAAGTCACAGAATAGTTCAATTAAAATAAAGAAGAAATTTGTCATTGATGCCAGTGACAAATGAACTTGATCTTTACAGTGATATTTATATATTCTTTACAATAGTTAAGTGATTTACACTGTCATTTACATATTTTAAAAATATTTTTGTGGTTTCTTTCACTCTTAAAAAATGGTAAACAGATCATGCAATATATTAAAGCCCTGTGAGTCACATCTACAACTGTGTAGTATATATACAACTTTCAGTATTATTTTTTTACAGAAATGTAGCACATACTTTCAGAGTCCTGCAGATTCTCAATAGCTAAAAGTAGCCTTGTTCTGTCTTCTGGATCTTTGATGTTAAGTTCAATTAAATGCTTTTCATGTAGATCTTTCAAATCTTCTAATGTCTGATAGCCATTTAGCAAAAGGGTTGATAAATAGTCCTAGAAGGGAAACATTTAAAATTTCAATTGTAATAAAGATTGATATTTACTTTCATGGAGTGCAGGATGGCCAAAAGGGCAGAGAGGAGTGAGGGAGATGGAGGGGGGGGAGTTGAAAAACATGCTGCAATCATAAAAGCAGGTGGGCTGTTGCCAAGTGCATGAATTTTGGTAATGTGACCACAGGGTACTGCAATGCCCACAATTTTGAGAACTGGTCATATCTACCATTAGTTCAGTGTTTCATAATTTCAATCACTAAAAGAGTACATCCTAATTTGTACATAATAACATTATCATCCTTGAAATAAAGTTCTTTGAAGTTGTGATGTTTTGGTCAAAACGTGTCGAAACCCATCAATACTATCCCTAGCATAAATAGCACAAATATAACTAATGCTAGTAACTTACTATATACCTTCTATATTAAAAAGAGTTTTGTGAAAGCCTTAATTAATTGTATAGGTAAATATCTACAGGGTCATTTATTGCTGACTACAGCATATGGAAAAATGAGACTTAGAATGTAAGAGAACATATGGTAAAGAACACAAATTATCAAATGAAAGGACAGGAAAGAAAAATGTAGACTGATTGTAAAAACAAGAGAAAATAATGGATATACTAGAATTAAGATATTTTTCTAGAGTGGAAATAATGAAGACATGCAAGAAAGTGAATGTATAGATACAATTACGAATTAAAATATATCAGGATGTAGGAATTGGTATCATCTAGACTATGTAGGCGTATATGACAGCAGAAATCCAGAGACTGGTGATAGTTGCATGCTATACATACACACAAACACATACACACACACACAAACACACACACACACACACAGAGAGAGAGAGAGATTATTAACAGATCCTACCTACTCCCACCCTCTCACCCTATGAATATATATACTAATACCGACAAACACTATGATCCAATTGCAGATAGACAGGGTGGGAGGAGGGGGGAATATGTTATTCGAGCAACCACTTCTACTGTGATGCTCCCTCATTGGAGCCTCAAACTAACTGGCAGAGCCAGGTCTTTAGGCCCTTATGAAAGGTCAGGAGGGTTGGGACCAAACTCACACTGGGGGCAAAATGTTCCAAAGGGCAGATGCAGTGGCAGAGAAGGCCTTTCTCCTGGACCCCACTAGCCAGAATAATCAGGCTGAGAAGGTCTCACAGCATGTCTTCTCTGCCAGCAAGGGTAGGATGGGTTAATCCCAGTAGGATGAAATGGTCTCTCAAGTAGCCTGGACCCATGCTATGAAGGGGTTTAAAGATGATTACCAACACCTTGAATTGCAACTAGAAGTAGACTGGCAATCAATGGTATTACATGAGCAATTTCTTTGGGCCTCTAGAACTGTCCGTGCCACCACACTCTGCACCAGCTGTAGCTTCTAAATGCTGTTCAAGGGTAGCCTCATGTAGAATGCATTACAATAATCCAACTGTGAGATAACTAGGACCTGAATGACTGAGCACAGGGATTCCTGATCCAGGAAAGGCTGAAACTGATGCACAACTTGAAATTTTTGCAAAAGTTCTCATAGCCATAATTGTCACCTACTCTTTATGCTGGTGATGCAAATCCAGGAGAACGGCCAAGTTGCAGACCGGATCTATCTGGAGTAGTGCCACCCATCCAGAGACAAAGTCCCAGATTTCGGAGCCCTATACACCCAAAGCCATTCAGCCTTGTCAGTGTTCAGTCAGAGACTGTTGTCCCCCATCCAGGCCCCCACAGCCTCCAGGCACTGCAACAGGGCAGCAACGGCATCACTTGGGTCACAAGGAGTGGAAATATAGAGTTGGATACTGTTGGCGTACTACAGATACCTCAACCCATGGTGATGGATGATCTCACCCAGAAGTTTCATGTATTTAAGTTTAAAACTATGGTGTGCATATGGAAAATGAATGACTCAAAAACATGATTAATTTGATTAATTATGATAAAGGATTGAGAATCAGTGAAGGATGCAAAGATGATTAGCTGATATAAATAAGGGATAGATACTTATTTGATAAATCAAGAATTTTGGGGGGGGAATGACACGTAGAAAAAAACAAAGAAACCATACTGAATGCTAATTTGTTATTTACATAACAATCAAGCTGAATAAAATCCATGAATTCTAATTTAATTTGAAACAAAGTAATCCCCCAAAGGGGAGGAAAATGCTATATTAGTCTAAAGCAAGCCATGGGCATAAACAGCAATTTAGAACTGAAAAACAAAACTAAAAGTGAAAAATAGCTGAAGTGTACATATTTCCAGTTTTAGCTAACCTGGAGATGGATTTGCTCCAAGAATTCCTGAAGAGAATTAGGCTTGGCCCTTTTACTTTTCTTGTGTGGTTTTATCTTTCTGGGTGCAGATTCCTCTTCTGTAATCAGATCCACATAAATAAATTTGAAGTTTCCAACCTTGTTGTTTAGCAGTCCAGTCCACATGCCCATTGGGGTTTTACAGATAATGTCAATTATATCTCCTTTCTATAAGAAGACCATGAGAAAAATAGAATATAAAACAAAGAATGTAACGAAATAACAGATGATTGTTGATTAATATTGCTGGGTTTTTTCTACTGAAAGAAAAGTAAAGGAAAGTGAACAGGCAACTCAATACTTAATGTATATTTTCTATTTTTAAGTAGATCTACCAACAAATTAACCAAGCCAACAGGGAGATGGGCAGTTAAGAAATAGGATAGATAGATAGACAAACGGACAGACAGACAGAGACTGAGCAAGAGCATGGACCAATACAAAATTTATAATTCAATAGAAATTAAGAAATTAACTTAAAAGAACATTGATCCTGCATTTTAAAAACACCAGGAAGCTTAACCTCTACAGGATACTATAATTTTCATGCAGTGAAAAGACCACAGCCAAATAAAAAAACCGAATGTACCATTAAAAGCTTTGCATTTTCCATAGTAAACATTAGTAACACAATGTACAACTTACAGTAGTGCACACAATTGAATTAACTGCCTGCAAAATAAAGTGCATAATATACATCCTACTCACCTATATCAACTTTAACTTTCCCAGTACAAAAGAATTAAAGGAAAAAACAACAACAATCCAAGCAGTAACTTACTACACAGGCAGGCATTCAAGAATGAATACTAGTCTTGTCTTCTCCCACCTCCTTTGCTATCAACATTTCACTCCTACATCATCCCATTCAGATCAAGCCAATAGAAATATAATTATAATGCTGTTATGAGGGTTGGATTAGGTAAAGTTTGGGAAAAAATAATCTAATCACAAGTCACAAAAACAATAGTCCAAGTGCAGCTGAAACACTGGAAAAACTGTTCAGATTTATAGAAAATTGGCTCAACTTAGAAACAAAACTTTAGAAATACACATTTTGATTCAAGGTGGAAACAACTGAGTGGCTGCTTCAAAGTCAAAATAATTTGCACAATCCTAGTTGGGTGAGAAGAGAGATTGGTGGAGGACAAAACAGAAAAAGAGAATTGCCATCTCCATGTACAAGTAAAAATGCTTTTAAATGCAGGCCAAAGTATTTGAGTTAGCACATTATATTGGTTTTGACTTGATCCAACACATGTAGATTATCCCATACTTGAAAACACTTGCATTAAATTATTACACTTTTGGAATGCCTGTGAATTTTCCCTTCAGCTAGTTTCACATCACTGATAAGCTCAGGAAAAAAAGTAATTTAGGCAGAAGTCTCTTTTCCCCAGGTTAAAATTATTACTTTGTTATTCATAGTCAGGAGTGAAGCTCTTAATCACACCTTCCTTCACTGGCGACACAAACACAAGCATCATCTTGTTTTTGTTAGTATTGTATGGAAAAGTGAAACGCCCCCTATTGCTTTCACAGCTGTAGGTGAAGTAATATTATATAGCACTGTCTTTGGAATCATCTGTGAACAGATACTAGCAAAGAAACTACAACAGGATTAGTAAATAGATCTATAAAAGCTTAAAGCACAAAGTCATTAATATATATCTATAGAATAAAGAAATCTTGCCTTGATTTTTAGGGAGTCTGAATCATAAGGACTGGGAGTGAAGTCTGTGTGTACTCTGGCTCTGCCACAGAATGGTCCCACATAACTGATTTCTTCATCAAACTTTAGGCTGTCTCTGTTGCTTGTTGCATCTGAACAACAAGTTACACCACCTGGAAGCAATAAAAATGGTTAATTTTTGCATAATGTCTAAGATGGGTACCATGTAAAACCTGTCAAGAGATAGAATTATAAATAAAAATCTCTACAACAAATAGTGTCAGCCTATTTTTTGTGGGGTATGGTGAGATAGTGTGCAACTCCTATTCCTGTCTCTATATACCATGTGTTTACTATGATATGAGCAGTGTTAATATTCATCTGTCAAACCAATAAGCTTTTTCTACAATGAATAGGAGGTCCTGAGTTTTTCTTCCACTCAGATAATTTGAATGCTTCAAGAAAGTGAGTATAATTTACTATATATAGCACTGGAATAGTTTTATTGAATTTATGAGACTTAGTACTACTTAAGTTTGGCTAGAACATTTCCCATAATTATTCATGCATACCGGAGACTAATTATTTATGAGGATGTGTTAATAGATGAAGTATGTGATCCTCAAAGTCCACAAATCAGAAACACAAATGTCATTAAAATGATCAAAGCCTGAATTGGCAAAAAGTGATGTGAGGACTAGAGTGTATATCTTTCTCAAGGCTGAAAACCAATGACATATATTTTAAATATATTATTTAAGCAATCAACTGTGAAATATTTCTTCTAAATTCAGGCATATGGGAATGAGTTTTGACTGTACATGATACTGAGTATACTTTTAGACACAAGGACTTGGATATGCTGCAGAATGAAAGTTTTAGTTTCATAGGTTCTGTTTTTGGTCAGAACTGAACAATCTTGCTTCAGCATATTTAACTAAACATTGTAGCATTCCACTCAAATGCTCTTTCTATAGCAGTGATACTATGAATATATTTTCTCCAAAACAGCATACATAACAAGCAGATAATTATACCCAATGCATTTGTTTAAATATATCTGGGAGAAGACTAAATAGACTTGCTAGACCATGATATTTCTGAAAATGTTAAAAGGAAATGAAGTTAGGCAATTCAGAAGTAGGGCAACGATAAAATAAACATGTGCTTTCTTTTGTGACAACAGGATTTCAAAGGAAACTAGATAACCCATCACCCATTGGGTCGTCCTACTTTCCATATATAATATAGGCTGGCACTGTTTTCTCTCACAACACTGAGCAAAAACCTACTGAAACCTCCTTGGCTGACATGCTGAACTGCCTACTACTTTCTTTGGGGTAGGCGGAACAAAGGGATCCATAGACCATCCCTGGTCTCCATCCTGGCATGTCTCCAAGGGTCCTGTCCCTTCAGAGAGAGACGAGGATTCAGCCTTTGATTGCTGGTGGCCCTCAGCCAGTCCTAACTTGCCAGCAGACATCTCCTTTGTCCTTTACTTGCTACCCTCTGCTATTAAGAGATTTTAAGTTTTGGCCCTAGTTCCAAAACAGTTGATCACCATTTGCCCATTGGGCCCTGCTAACAGCCAGGGGGTGCAGGGGCCAGAGTGTTCCTCCCATCTTCTCTTATGCCATGCAACTTACAGATTTCTGGGAAGTTTAGTGTGGCACTAAAGTGGTTACAAGTTTGCCATGCTTTAATCCTATAGGAATAACGTGTTCTTCATTTTGGATGCATTCTGTAAATTAAACAATTTGTGGTACTTTGGTTCAAAAATTGTTATTCTATGATGCACTGTTTTGCCCAGTTGAAGGTTACAAACATACACAAGAATTTTAATAGCATATGGTTGCAGTGAAACTTGTTCTGAATTAAATTGAAGTAGAGGAATAAAATTAATCTAAGAAACATGAATCTATATTGGACAAATGCCTCCATGCACTAATATAACAAATATACTATACTGTTATAGGATAGCACATAGTGTTTAATAATGAGATAAAATACAAATATTTAAGCAAACTTTACGGTGGTTTAATTCTTCAATAGCCCATTTCATAGTATTAATGCAATTCAGACAGTCCTTTTTTTCAATTGTAACCTTTCAATGATTTCTTGTAACTGCTTTTCTCTCTCTTTTTTTAATTGCAGAAAACCCACTAAAGAGAGAAATATGTTTAGAAGTCCTAGAAATTCATCTGTTTGGAAGTATCACATGATTGATTTCAAGATACGTTTAGTAATGTGAAGAGCTCAGTAGAGATGTAAAAAGAGAGGTGTAAAAACATTGCATGCATTAACCGTTCTCTGTATCAATTGCTAGCTTTAGATGGTTGATTTTGGTTTAATTGTTTCGCTTAGGCACACATAGAAGGACACTTAATCTAGGTATAACAAATGCATTTGGGGAGAGAGGAAATAGGAACAAGGATATTGGCGGGGGGGGGGAGGGTAGTGCTAGCAGCTGGATACCCATAAAATCGGGAAATGGATGGACTGATTGGATAGGCTACACTTGAAGCCCAGGATGCCAACAGCAATGATGGCTAAAAGACAGAAAAAAGAAAGGAGCTGGGAAGATTGGAGAGGTAAATGGGACAGATGGGTATGCTATGCTTAAAAGCTAGGGTATCAGCAGTTGTCTAAATTAATATAGGAAAAGGTATTGCTGGCATAGAAGAAGAGAGGGAGAAATAAGATTTAATCTGTCTTGCCCAACTTATCCCACATTTTATTTCATCCACAATTCAAAAGAAACTGAATGGTCTGGATTTCAGGTCTGCCAAACTGTAGACAAACCTTTATAGTGCAACAGAATTCCAAAATACAAAGGGCATATTTTTTTTCCATCTGAAATAAAATACATTTTCTGATTCATGCAAACCTTTAGAACTGCCTGTTAAAATTATTAGAAATAAACACCTGCAAAATATTATCCTGTATTTGAGCATTTGAACTGGCAGAAACCATGTTTATTTGAAAATATGATTGACCTAGACCTAGGGCGTGAAAATTGAGTTGGTATGTCAGTGAACCATTCTGCTTTAGAATAAAGAATTATTTAGGTTTAAAAAAAAAACCACAAGCAAACATAAAATGGCATGCTTTGGTGTCATTAATCAACTCTGTGAGACAGAATGACAGCATAAAAGATTATATAAGAATTTCTCAGTAAAATATATCTTAGTAAAATCTCTACCAGTTTTTGCTACTTGACCACTGCGTCCCACCCTACAATAGCTCATCCATAATTTTTATGTGTATTGACAATCAGATAGAACAGGGAGCTAACATGTACTTCTTATTTATATATTGCAAGAAAAAGAATTTTAGATACCATGCTCATGACTAAAGCTCACCCTCAGAGTAGTAAGGCTCACTTCCAATAACATTTATAAGGATTGTGCTATTTAGTTGAATTTATTTTTCCACCCACATAATATTTCGTGGCCAAGAAACCAGGAAGAATCAGCAAGGTATTCTGTTCTTCAAATGCTTCATTTTATCTTTACCAAATGTGTCTTGTTGTATTGTGGCCAAAAATTTGTGTTTCATCAATCAAAAGCACTTTGTTCCCCAACATTTCAAACTAATTCAAACATACTTAAGTTTAGACAATGACTTTTATAATGCAATTGAGTAAAGATTATAGTCTGACAACTCTTACATGCAGACTTTTGCTGTATAAGCCATGTTGTATTGCAGATGATTGGACAACGACTCCAGGGTCAGCTAAAATTTTGAGGAGCTCCTTTGCAGATCTGTGCATTCTGAATTGCTGATTTGGCCATTTTTGCACAGATTTTTTTCTTGGTCTCCTGAATTTTGCCAAGTTTCATATAACCTTCATTTCTTAGCGGTGTTACTCCCTGTTGAAATAGCAACCTGGAAATCTTTTACAAGTAATCCTCAACTTACAATATTCATTTAGAACTGTTTGAAGTTACAAGAAGACTGAAAAAGTGACTTACAGTATGACCAATCCTCACATTTATTATTATTGCGGCATTCCCATGGTCACATAATCAAAATTTGGGTGCTTGGCAACCGGCATGCATTTATGATGATTGCAGCATCATGGAAGAGTCATGTGATTACCATCCCAGTGAGCTTTTGAGAAGCAAACTCAGTGGTGGGCACTGGATTCACTTAATGACTGCATGATTCACTTAACAGCTGTAATGATTCACTTAATCATAGCAAATATGGTTGTAAAATTGGGCGTGACTTACTTAACTGCCTTGCTTAGCAATGGAATTTCTGATCACAGTTTTGGCTGTAAATTGAGGAATACTGTACAATTTCTTTTGATGTCTTTTATATCCTATATATGCTTTGTAAGAACACGGTGCTTCATTTTTAATTGTTTAGACACAACTTAGAGATTATGCATTTTCTCACCTTTGGAATTGTCTTCCCCTGGCTAATTGTAGGTCTAATAAATCAATCACCTTTTGTGATATTATTGATACTTTACATTTGTAAAAAAATAATAGTGAATCAGTTTGAAGAATGTCCCAAGTACTACATTTGCCATATCCACTTTTTATTATGAATCTGTAATATGCATACAAAAATAGGAAGTCTGCATTGATTTTTATTATTATTATTACTCAGAGAGCATACAAACTTCTTCTCATTTATAGAGTCACTAAAAAAACATTAGATTGCCTGGAGGACATGACTTTTGCATGGAAAAGACTGGGATATTTACTTCTAGAATTCCCAACCAGGCTGATCATTTACAATTTCTGGACTTGAAAAGGGACTGTGTTATTTTCAGGCAAATTATTTGAATAAGGTTAATATTTTCAGTCAGTTACACATGCACACATACTTTCTATTCAATTATTTTTTACTTACTTGAAGAACTTTGGCCGCTATTAAGACTATAGAGGCTGTCCATGGAGTCACTTGCCTTCATAGAAGCTGTGGTCGGTTCTCCTCCAGGGTCACTGTCCCTATTTGAAGTAGAAAAGCTTTTTGCTCCTTCATTCTTGAGAACCAAAGACACAGAGAGAGAAAACTTTTTTTTTTTAGATGTTGCACTTTATTATACAATATCCACTTTTTAACTTAAAGCATTTTCATTAATTAATGGCTTTCAGACAAGGACATATTATAACAGCAAGATTTTACATGGTCATTACATACTATTTGATAAATAATTGTGTAACAATAGCTTCACAAGAACTTTTATAATGTCAATTACTATTACTAACAGCTCTGTTACTAACTCTTAAATAAAGCTGACCCAATTTTTTCTTCTCGTTAAACCTTAAAACAAATTGGTTTCTCTGCATGAAAGTCTTAGTATATTTAAGATTTTCTATGGGAAATCATTGAATATAGTTTTTATTTTTCCCACAACAGGCTGCATGTAGGACTTGTGAATATGTATTTTACTTACAGAGGGAACTTGGGTGATTATTTTCTGTCCTTTGAATAAGAATCACTAGTATTGTTTTCTTTATCAGAACATCAGTGTGGCATTTCCAGAAACCATGCACATAAATTTTGTAATTTCTTTCTTCAGTCCTTCACAATATATTTTTAGAATTGGTGATATTTATATATTTTGAGATACATATCTTAATGAATATTCATTTTCTATTCTGCCTACCTTCTGCTAGACTCATTTTTTTAAAAATTCCCCACAGCCTTCTTTAGCACTTTCAACAAATCCTGACTTTTCATTTTACAGACTTTCTCTGAGTCATTTCTACATTATTTTTTTATTTTATTTTTTATTATATCTATTTTATATTTTAATTTGAACAAAGATATGGCCCATACTATATGTGTACCTTGTTGGATATATATAGTATAAAATTCCACAACTACTTCATAAAAAGAATATATAGATCGACATAAATTTCCTCTGAATATGTTCTATATGCATTTTTATTGTTCTCAGTAAATTTACTAGATTCATACAGTATAGATGTAACCAGTAAGATGACTGCTTTTACGAATATTTCCATGAAAGGAATTGTTTGAATCAAGAGGTGTGTAAGAAGGAATAATATCCATAACTCATATACATCATATTATTCTTTATGCAGCTTCTTCCTCCCACATTCCAATGCAATTTTACCTCCACAACATAAAAAAGTGCCTGTGAGATTGTAGAGAAGGAAGGAGAGAGGCAAGAAAAGTCTTAAGCATCTTTTTCTCCTTCTCCATCTATTAGAATTATATCACTAGTTTTGGGCTGCATGCCTTTCCAACATGATGTCCTTACACAGAACCTCCTGAGTATTCATTAAAACTGTGATTATGAGTTTTATCTGATTTCCGAAAAAAAGTTACTTATATTTGAAAATTTGGAGTCTGAAATTGGTCATTTTGGATAATCTGGATAGGAAGGAGTTATGTTTCTCTTATCTTTGGAGAAAGGTATGCCCTGGGAGGAACTTATGGTTTGTTCAAAAATCAAATTTTGACTACATCCTCAAGTATGGGAGAACCAAACATGGAAAGACAGAATTTTTTTTGTTGTTGCATGGTTGTAGTGTGAGAGTATCTAAGAAATGTAAGTAGAGGAACATCCCTCGAGGACCTAATATTTAGTCAATGGGTTATCCACAGAAGGATTTTTTTTTGCTATAACACAATTACTTTGCTTTTTAAAATTTGGCTCAATGGAAGGTATTTATCAAAAAGTTAATCTAAGCTGATGACATATCCAGTACTTAGCAGCAAAGAACTTAAAATTCCAGCACCTTATACTAAATTCATTTCATGTACCTTATACTTAGATATGGAAAACTGCAAGTATGCAAACAAGCTACAACAAAATAATGGTCTGGCTTGACTAAACTAAAGTGTGTTATCTGTCCTCTTCTTGCTTTGTCTTTTTAGGGTATTTTTGTTTCAATCTTTTTGAGTAGATGATGTAGTGGAATTGTAAATATACGTGAATTGTATAATTAAAGCGATAGTTGCTGTAGTTGGCCAAATATTCATTTTATAGAAAGGTAAAATTATGAATTATATATAATTTGCCAAGAACCTGCATAAAAAAGCAACAAAAAATTGGAACCTGAGCCTCAGTGCAAAACAGTAAATTAAAAAAAAAGTTTACCATTTCCTCTGAAAGCACCCTAATGTACTTTTTACCCATCTTTTTCTTCATAGTCATGGAAATGGCTCTCATCTTTTTTCCAATGCTTCCGCCATTATTGGGTTTGTTTTGTCTCAATTCTGTGCCATCACATGTGGCACATACTTCATCTAGCTATTGAAAAAGAGGGCAAGAAAGAAAAGCTTTTAATAATTGTATACACAAGCACACACATACATGCTATATATACACATATATACATATTGTGTACACACACACACACACACACACATTAAATACTGGAATCCCAGGTGTAGACATTTTAAAATCAGTAAAATTAATGAACTCAGGGATATAAAATAGCCTTCTTTATTACTGAGCTTTCGTCAACTAGCTGTTGACATCACCAGAGCGTGTTGTGAGCATGCCATATGTACATTCTATACCTTGACCATTATAACAGTCATACAAGTGTATGTACAGATTGTCCTAATCTTCAGCCCTTACTCTAATGATGTCAACAGCTAATTGATGAAAGCTCAGTAATAAAGGCTATTTTATATACGGAGTTCATTAATTTTATTGATTTTAATATATATAGATATATATATTATTGAATTGAAGCAGTTCACTCATATGTGTCATAAGGATTCACATGACTATTTACTATTTTTGAGTGCAAATTGTAAGCTTTATTCAGGCAATATATTTGCCTAAGGCTATAGTAAACCATACTTCCCCTTTCTAAATTATGCTGTGACACAGCTAACTATCCATAAATAATTGCAGCTGTCTGCAGTCGGAATTGTATCTACACACAGGTTTCCACATGAACCAGAATCCTGTAATCCAGGGGTGTCAAACTGCTGGCATACAGGCCGGTTTCATCGTCTGAAGCCGCGCCCACCCCATTGCCAGCAATGCAAAAAGAGTCGCGATATGTCGTGATAAGTCACGTGCTGTAATCTCAAGCTTTCAATTTTATTTAGTGATGTCATAATAAGAATCATATGCTGGATTCTACATGGCAACATATCACCTGAAATTGAGCCCCACTTCTATCATAGCAAGAGTTTCATCAGTAAGAATCCACAAATGCAGTCACACTTTTTCTACTAAAAACATTTTTTTTGCTTCAGTGAGAGAAAAATGTAAAAGAGATTGCCAAATAAATAAATAAATTCATAATGCCAGAGTAACCCCAGAACCTGCAAGAGAAATATAATGCAAGGCATTTGGTACAAGAGATTTGTTACCACAATAATCCCTCTTCATTTCTTTAAGGGGCTTTGAACTTATTTTAGTAACAGAAGATCTTGACTTCTCTCATTGGAAGAGGAATAAAATTTGGCAGAATAGCAAAATGAACCAACATTTGTTGGTTTTGTTAAGATTCTTAGGTGATGTATGATCATAGCTTTTCAAGATCCTCAAAACACCAACCACTACTATAATTAACAACGCCACAGGCACTTTGATGTTAAACTCTAGTTTAACAATTTGTATTTTGATTATGGAAAAAGGTGGAATGGGGAGGGGCAATTTTTTTCTACAACAAAAGACTGGGAGAAAAATATTTTTTCTTTTTTTAGAAGTCATACATTTTACTCAAATGGAGCTGAGTTGATTGTTTTACAAAATATGACTTCCATAATATGTTGAAAAGTCAAAGGGATGTGATATAAATGAACTAGACTGCACAATATACAAACCTCAGATGAATCATTTGGTTTTGATGTTGAGTGATGTCTGCGATGGTCAAATTTCCCAAAGCTGCTTGACCTCTATAAAAAGGAAATCAATGCTTATAGATACTGGATGCTGTTGTTATCTTTAAAACTGACTCACTATAATCTGGAAAAATTATTTGTCATATATTCAAGGATTACTAGCAAAAAAAATCTTAGATAAAACAATCAGACTTTTGCAGGAACAGAAATTGCAAGTACTCTAATTTTGGATGCAAATTGCTGAGCAGGTAATTTCAATTACATTCACCAAATGAAGTAGCATACAGTATTGTGAGGCTATATTAATTAGGTAAGTAATAACAACCGTATTGTTGTGCACCATACAGATTCAATGAAATTTATACAAATTTCATAACAAAGCATATGTTCACCTTATTGCCAAGCAGTGTCATAATTTTAGGAAATAAAAATAATTAAAATAGTGATTTTAAAGTAAAAAATATAGATTCATTGCCTATATAATGAAAATCACGGCATACTTTAATCTATTCACCAATCATTTCTTTGTCATCTTTCATATCTTTCATGTTGATGCTGAAAGTGTTTTATGCCAGGGGCTTAGAGAGATTCTTGGCATTTCAGTCTCTATGTAACAGAAGTAGTGATCTGAAGAATGGTAGTTGTACAATTGATGCTTACTGTGCATTTTACAAAGTAGCATCCTTGCAGAAATTTCAGTTTAGAAGATGTTTCAGTCTACTCATATAACAAACATTTACTATCTTTGTTAAGTCCAATTTCTTTCATATTCTTTAAAACTAAAAAATGTTGGCAGAATAATTGGTAAGCAGTATAAAATTATAATGTCAACATTATATAGCTCACAATCATATATAGACCCTGCTTCCTAGTTTCAGCTTTAGTGTGAGTTTTTATTTTAGTTTATAGACCACTTAATCTCCAATTTTCAGAAGCCTAAAAATAATTTTGCAAATGGGGATCTTTGTACATCTAACTGAAGTAGGGGAATGTTTCTTTAGAACAAACTTACTTTAAATCTGCCAAACTTACTTTAAATTATTATTTATGGTAAGTACAAACAACAAACATAGCCAATACACATAAGTTGTCTAGAGAGTATTATTTTAATTCAAGTATTACAAAAGCAAATTGCCTAAAGTTACTTAATTCTTTCATGATGAGTTAATATCAATTAAGATACAGATTTCTCTTAAATTGCTTGGACTTCACCTTTGCAATTGCAGTCCCAGACATCAAGAACACTGGATGTAATCAGTGGTGGGATTCAAAAATGTGAACAACCGGTTCTTTGTGTAGGTGCTGTTTCCAGAAATCAATTCTGGGCCTGGGCAACAAAAAAATTAGCTACCAGCTCTGCCAAAGTGGTGTGAACCGGCTGAATCCTACCACTGAATGTAGTTACAAATTATGTGCCTGACATGCAGTATAAAATGTTAAAGTCTATGTCCATGTAGACAAGTGGTTCTTAACCTTTTTAATGCCGCGACCCCCAATCGGTCGTAAGTCGAGGACTACTCAACCAGTCGTAAGTCGAGGACTACTCAACTGGTGCAGCACCGTTTGCAGAATGGGACTTTCAAAAGCCAATAGAATAAAAGGGAATAGCACAGCTAAGGAAAAGGGAGAAAAATGGCGGACTGCATTGTTTGGCGACCCCCGTGAAATGGTCGTTCAACCCCAAATGGGGTCCCGATCCACAGGTTGAGAACCATTGATGTAGACAAAGCTGCATATTAAGCCTGAGACTACAGTTTGAAATACATTCATGTAAAATTAAATTCAGTTAGATTTCCTGTCAAGGATATATGTTTAGTATTCAGGATTTTTTTTTCTTAATTGCACTTAATTGACTGGTTTACTGAAAGCCAAGCTAACCATGAATCTGATGAGGTAGCAACCATCAGTTCCTAGGCTGGAGAGAAATTTACAGAAATATGCCTCAGTGGTTCAGCTCAAGGCCACCAAGTTAACAGCCATATGTCTGTTAACTCAGAAAGTTAGAAGGAAAATGCATAGAATGTAAAGTTTGGAGCATATACTATTAGAATGCTTTACCTTCTTCGCTTTGCAGAAAGCAAACCATTTCTCCCTCTATGGTTTTAGTCTTGCCTGAAGTAGAATTTAACTTAGCCATGTTGTTGTATATGAGAGTCTTTGGCCAAGTAATCCAGTTGCTAAGTAAGGGATTAAGTGTCTGGAGAACTGCAATTCACTGCCATGTCCTGATATGAAGGGTGACCCTATGATATTAAGAGCATGCAAATACTTAATAAGGAATCTTAAATGAAAGGCATGATTGTGATTGGTGTTGTGAATCCTTTTCCCCCAGACTGTGGCCTCAATGAACATTTCTAATACTGCAATCTCTTTGGAAATGCTGTTTCTATTTTCATAAATTAAACTTATGCTTTCCTTCCCTGTGCACCCAGGCCTCCCTTCTAATGAATTCCTCATTACTGCTACTGAAAGAAGGGAAAAAGAAGATATATTTTTGTACATATTTAATACCATATCCTTAACAGTAAAAATAATAAAGGCAAGATATGCGTGTATGTATAAATAAATAAATAATATTCCAGCAAAGCACTGATTGACTAAACTTTATTTCTTTATGCATTTGAAAAAAATGAGTGCAAATGAAACTCTTGGAGTAATCAGTTAACACTTTACTTGTTTAAGGATTTCTATATTGGCCTAGTGACCAGCATCTTGACATCTAATAAAGAACAGCTCAGTAGAGCGCTACAGACACAGGCCCCAGAAATACAGATTTATCCAGCCAGTTTGATACAGTTTGCTGAATTTGTCATTCCTGCTGACCATGCTCCATGATATGGGAAAACAGAAGGTAAGAAAGGTTTGAAATCAGCAATCACCTGCCATCCTAATTAACTAGACAAGAAGCAAGTTCATGTCATGTTACTGCACTTTCTGTATGGTCAGGATGCCTGCCATGAACTGTTTTTTTTTTTTTTTTTTTTTGTAATGGCAGTGTAATAGTGGTACATTAAGGAGCAAATGGGAAATAAAGTTTATTGTTGCTGTTCTCATACTCAGCTGGAGCTTGGGGAAATCAGTTATCCCTTCAGAGTCTCATGCTTTCAAAACAGAAGCCTTGGGCCATTTTGAAATGTAATTTAGCTTAGTGTTGCACTGCACTTATTAAACATTAATAAGGATTGCAGGATGGTTTTTACCATTGTAGATAATGGGTTTGTAGCACAGGAGAGCATTAAGCAGGCTTACTTCAGCATTCTGACCCCTAAATTTTTTGCTCCCCATTAAATAATCAATTCAGCTGTTGTTTTTTTAAAATGCATTTTAATCCACTATTTTAGTTAAAAAAAATCATGGAAGAATTGGGGCCTCATAAAGTATGCATCTGTATAGATGTGCCTATGAAACATGAATTTTGTTTGCTTCTGCATTGCACGTGACCCACAATATTAGCTTCAGCAAATTTCAACTTCAGGAAGCTAACATAGCAACATGCAAACTTTCTTTGTTTCCAGTACTGGCTCCGTTTTTAAAGCAAGTGCAGTCTCTTGGAAACAAGAATGGCCCGTTGCTTTTGACACTGGCATTCAGAATCCCATAAGATGAAGTGATTCCTTTTGGCAGAATGGCTACATTAAGCAAATTAGCCTCTGGAAACACAAATTGCTACAAAAGGGACAGGGCTTGTTTGCACTCATTAAAAGCAAAACTCAGAAAGCCCAAATGTTCTCTCCAAGCTCTCAGATCTTTTTGATTGAAAGGTGCACTGGAAAATGCAAGGGTTAGTCATTTGTTTTAGTTGCATTTTTCCCCTTTGAAGCTGTGATTCAAGGCACAGAGATCACTTTTTCCTACTGGTCAACTGATCAGACTGGAAGCTGGCTTCCTACTACTATTAATAGCAGGAAATCAAGCAATCTATTTCTATTCCCAGCTAATTTATTACATGGATGTCTGGGATGAGGCTACTCACTGGCTTCAGGGGTGAATATCTGGGAAGGATGTGTGAAAGGAAAAGAATTAAGTGTGTGTTTCTGTGCATATGAGTAAGAGGTGTACTTTTGTGTGAATAAATACACGGACATTTGCTATCTCAACTTCTAACCTAAAAAGCATGCATACCTGTATCAGCTATTACATGTGAGAGCACTAATAAATTAGAGCAGCTATGCAATTTGTAGTATGGATTATTATTAATAATTAATTAGAGCCAATTTGAGACCTTCTCACCTCTTGATAACGCTGAGTGGCTTACATATAGAAGAGAAACAATACATATAGAAAGAGAACATGGCAAACCAGAAAAAAACCCCTCAATGTTAAAGTAAAAAAAATAAAAAATAAACTAAAATAGGCTCCACACCATCCTATATCCCAAAGCTTGCGAAAACAAGTTTTTTGTAGCTGATGAAAAAATAGTGGGAGACACCATTCCAGAGAGCAGGCACTACAACAGAGTTGGCATGCATCTTAGTTCTCATAAGAAAATATTATTTGATGGGTGGGACTCAGAGTGCATCTATAGGTAGAAACAATTGGATTGGAAGGATTGGATTGATTATAAAAACTGCATGTAACTCACTAACCAGTGAGTTGAAAAAGTCCTACAATCACATTTTCATCTGACATAAAACACATTAACCACCTCAATCTAGAGTTCAGACTGAACTTACATCAAAACAGCATATAATATACATGGACAATATTGCTGCTTAGCTTGCTGCAGTTCTTTATTTTGGATCAATATACTTTATCTTATCATGAAGGTCTCTAAAAACATCAATATGATTGTCAGTCATATATATATTATATGCACACAGACACACACACACACAAAACCTTTTTAGCTTTTCATTTTCTTCAAATCTTATAAGGATAAAATTTCTATTGAATGAAAATTTATACTGAATGTATAAATAAAATGAACTGGTGATTTTGTGCTGATGTTTATTTTATTATTCAATGCCTATATAAACATCCTATTTTAGAAGAATACTGAGTTTCCAGATCTCTTTCCAGTATTATATTATAATTCTTTATTTTATTCCTATGTT